CCCCACACGAAGGTACTTGGTGGGGCTGGTGTGCAGGCGGTGGGGGCCGGTCTTGCAGCTGGCCGGTTTACCTGGACCCTCCTTGTCCTCTCGGAGCATCCAGGGTTCCAAGCGTGGTGTTTGCCCCCACAGTTGACACACTTGGGGGCAAATTTTTCTCCATTTTTCAGCTTGGTGAGGCAGGAGTGTGTGCCGTGCTTCTGTGCGCAGACTGCGCAGATTTCCTTGTACGTGCACCTTGTCTGATGGTGCCCGTATTTCTGGCATCTGAAGCACCGCAGGGGCTCTGGGACGAAGGGCCTCACTTCGTAGATCCCCCAGGTTTTGAGGTCTATGGTGCTGGGGGGTAAACCGTAGTGCGTTATGAGCACTTGTTTTGTGGTGGCCGTCTTGTCGGACAGGGGAGAGCATCTCTCGGCTTTTAAGATCTTCGGGTGGTTCTCCAGGGGTTCGAGGGGTAGTTCCTTTGGGTACCAGAGGACTACCGACTTCATCAGTTTCTGGGCGGGGTCTAGCTTGGTTGATGCAACGGTGGTGGTGTTTTGCAGGTAAGTGTCGAGGGTGGTGGCGGAGTCCTTGTCTTTGGGGTGAATAATCATCTCCCCCTTTAGGTTGGGCCGCACTGAGAACCTGGCCAGTGGATTTTGCTTTTCTATCTCTGTGATGGCGGCATATGTCGTTTTTGTGTCCGTTTTCGTGATCCGGAATTTTGGCAGTGTCGTTGGAGGTGAGCTGGTGGTGGTGATGGGTGCCTTTTGAGCTGCTTGACGGCATTCTTTTCCCGAAGAAGCACGTCGGCGTTTTTTATTTTCTACCTTCGTCCAGTTGTCGTCCTCAGTGGCGGTGGTGGAGTTGTTGGAGGTGGTGGCAGTGTTCCTGCTTTTCAGGGCTTCATTGAAGGCGCGTAACTGGTCCGCTTTCTCAGTGCGGAGCCTGTCGTAGTTCGGGTCGTCAGGTTGGCGGTTCAGGCGGGGGTCGAGGTTAGGAGGGCGTACGCGCTCCATAACCGTTTTTTTTTTTTTTTTTTTAAATCCTACCTATTCCGGTTGAGTAAGTAGCAGAGGAATTTCAGCACTCCCCACTGGCTGGTGGTCGCAGAGTGGTTCCTGAGCTTCTCTCCCGGAGCCCCGTTGGGGAAGCCTACTTCCTAGTGTATGTGACTGCTCACTTATAGACGTGAGCTAAGTGTGCCTATTTGGGGAGGATAAGGATTGCTACCCTCTTTCCAGGTGGAACCGCACGATCACGGTTTTCCTGGAAAGACTCGGCTAGGATGGGTTTTGCTCCAACCCCCTTTCGTGTTCACAATCTCCTGGGAGGGAGGTGAACAGTTACAGGGGGGACCGCAGGACGAATACACTTTTTGAGGGTGCAGGTCCCTAGGCCATGGTCCTAGCGTTGCTACGTGTGCGTCCGCACTGGGGAGTAGGTCTACCGGCACCGCTGGCTGTACGCTGATTGGCTGGTAGGCGCGCGGGGGCTCAGTCGTCCCTTGTAGGGGATGGAGTCCACTACAATATTCCCCTTCCCCTCCGGGCGCGGCGGGAGGCTGGAGGTTGATAGGGTTGTGTCCCACAAGGGACACATAACGGGCAGGTGTACGTACCACTCGACCACTACGGGTGACGACTCCGTCTTGTGACACAAAACCTGTGGGAGAATTAGGGGGAGAAAGAGGGTTTTGGATTAGAGGAGGTTGTACAGGTTGTTGTGCTCCTGTCACAGCAGGGGCAACGTCACTGGCTGGGCAGACATGGGCAGGGGACATGGCAGCAACAGGGTCCACTACAACAGCAGGGTGCAGGACAGGAGCAGTGGGTACCTGAGGGTGAAAAGGGGGTGCCCCGAAATGTTGTGGGCGGGGTCTGGCTGGGTCAGGAGGATGGTCCATGACAGCAACAGGGTCCACGACGGCGGCAGGCTCCACGACGGCAGCAGGGTCCACGTCAGGAGGAGGGTCCACGACAGGAGCAGCAGGTACCTGAGGGTGGAAATAGGGTGCCCAGAACTGTCGTGGGCGGAGTCTGGCTGGGTTAGGAGGATGGTCCATGACAGCAACAGGGTCCACAACGGTAGTAGGCTCCACGACGGCAGCTGGGTCCACGTCAGGAGGAGGGTCCACGTCCGGAGGAGGGTCCACGACAGGAGCAGCAGGTACCTGAGGGTGGAAATAGGGTGCCCAGAAATGTCGTGGGCGGGGTATTGCTGCAGGTGGTAACTGCGGGTAGACTAGTGCAGGTGTAGTTCGCGCAGGTGGTAACGGCGGGTAGACCGGTGCAGGTGTAGTTCGTGGGGGTTGTTGCTGGGCTGGGGACCCAACGGGTAAGGTGGCCGGTTTGACTCGGTCTATGCTGACGGTGTCGTGTCTGCCATTCCGGATAATCGTTAGGAACTTCGCTGAACGGGAAACAACCTGGAAGGGTCCATCGTAGGGGCGTTGTAGTGGGTTGTGGTGAGCGTCATGCCTGACGAAAACATACTCGGCTGTGAGTAGTGCAGGAGGGATGTGTTCAGGGCGCCGAGGAGGCTATCGTGGAGCAGTGGCTCTGAATGCAGAAACTGCTTGACGCAGTTTTTGGAGTAAGTCGTGACGAACGGCAGGAGTGGGTTGGCGGAGGTCAGGAGGGAGTGAAAACTCTCCGGGTAGGCGAAGGGGCTCGCCTAGTGTGATATCTGCTGGGCTACAGTCCATGTCCTCCTTGTGTGATGCACGGATGCCGAGGAGAACTAAGGGCAACGAATCCGTCCAGTTGTAAGGGTCGTGCTGTGCCTTGAGTGCGTTCTTGAGCTGCCGGTGAAACCGTTCTACCATGCCGTTGGAATGAGGGTGGTATGTGGTATCCGTTGTCTAGAAGTACCGAGGAACTGTAGGAGGTCCTGCCAGAGTTGTGACTCAAACTGGGCTCCTCGGTCAGTGATGACGGTTGCAGGGGGGCCGAAACGGGAAACCCAACCGGACATGAAGGCGCGGACGGCAGACTCTGCTGTAGCATTGGGCATGGGAATAGCTTCTGTCCACCTGGTGAAACGGTCAATGCAGGTGAAGATTAGGTGCTACCTTAGGATGATGGAAGCGGTCCCACGATGTCGAGGTGTACTACTTGGAAACGTCCTTTGGGAATAGGGAAGGTTTCTAAGGGGGCCCGTATGTGACGATGTATTTTGGAGGACTGGCAGGCCAGGCACTGGGCAGCCCATTTCTTAGTATCAGACTTGATGCCGGGCCAGACAACACGTTGCGTGAGGAGGCGCTGGGAGGCCCGCACACCCGGGTGGCTGAGACCATGGATGCGGTCGAAAACAGCGCGGGGGTGGAAGTGAGGCACGAACTGTCTAGGATGCCCACAGGATACGTCGCACCACAATTTTATGTACGTGCCAGGAACAGGGAGTTCTTGGAGTGTGAGGCCTGAGGGGGATGTCTTGCATGCTGCCAGGTCTTCATCATTCTCTTGTGCCGCGGCGAGCTGCCCATAATGAATGGATGGAGATGAGGGAAGAATGTTGTGGCTGCCTTTAATGTGTTGGACGTCGCTGGAGAGCTCCGAGATGTAAGCCAAGTGGCGCAGGACACGAGGTGTATGTGACTGGGATGCTGAAGCAAAGGCGTGGACGAGGGGTTTGTGATCAGTGAAGATGGTGAACTGACGGGCCTCTAGGAAGTGCTGGAAATGTTTGACGGCCAGGTATATGGCCAGGAGTTCTCGATCAAAGGCGCTGTACTTGAGGTGTGGTGGTTGAAGCCATTGTGAGAAGAAAGCAACGGGCGTAAGAATTCCGTTGATCTCCTGCTGTAAGACGGCGCCTACTGCAGTAGAAGAAGCGTCTGTTGTGAGAGTGGTCCGGGCGTTAGGTGCGGGGTGGGCCAGGAGGGTGAGACGTGTGATGTGCTGTTTGATAGTGGTGAATGCCATAACAGCCTCTTGAGTCCACACGAGAGGCTTGTGAGACTTCTTTGGGCGTCCCTTGAGAAGGTCGTATAGGGGGACTAGGACGGTGGCAGCTTTGTCAATGAAGCGGTGGTAGTAGTTGACTAAACCCAGGAATTCTCGGAGTTTCTTCGCCGTTTCAGGTTTGGGGAACACCCTAATCGCAGTTATCTTCTGTGGTAGGGGTTGTATGCCACTGGGCGAGACTCTGTGACCGAGGAAATCGATGGCAGAGGCTCCAAAGATGCACTTAGCAGGACGAACTTTCATGTTGTTGTTCTGCAGGCGTTGGAGAAGGAGTTGTAGGTGGTGGTGGTGCTCAGCAGGCGTCGAAGATGCGACGAGGATGTCGTCAATATAGACGGTGACAAAATCGAGGTCGCGAAGCATATGGTCCATGTACCTCTGGAAAGTCTGTGCTGCATTGCATAAGCCAAAACTCATGAAAGTGTACTCGAAGAGTCCAAACGGAGTGGTGATGGCTGTCTTCTGGGTATCTGCAGGTGCTACTGGGATCTGGTGGAAGGCACGCTCCAAGTCGATCTTTTAGAAGATAGTCTTGCCATGAAGTTTGTGGTGGAAGTCCTGGACATGCGGAATAGGGCACCTGTCAGGTTTGGTGACGAGATTCAGGGCTCTGTAGTCGCCACACACCCTCCACTTGCCGGGTGTTTGCTTAGGAACCATGTGAAGAGGCGATGCCCAGGGACTCTTTGAAGGACGAATGATGCCGTCTTGGAGTAGTTTATTGAATTCTGCTTTGGCTGTGTTCAAGAGCTCAGGGCGCAGGCGGCGAGGGCGTGAAAAGACTGGTGGTCCTTTGGTTTCGATGTGGTGGAAAATTCCCGACGTAGGTGGTGGGGGTAGAGAGACTCGGGGTGAGAAAAGATCCTTGAATTCGTCGAGCAGCGAGGAGAACTCGTTGGAAGGCGCGAGACAGGTGATAGTGTCGGTGTGTTTGGCACGAGAATCCTGGATCAAGCGTGCTGTAGGCTCATGGATGAGGCATAGATGGCTTGGGTCGACGCCAAGCTTGTGGAAGGTGAGGAAGTCGAAGCCAAGAATGGGTTGAGACACGTCTGCGATCACGAATAACCATAGCATAGTCTTGGGCATACCGAGGTCTAAGGCGAGGGTGCGTACACCGTACGAGGCGATGGGGGCACCGTTGGCAGCGAACAGATCCTAAGACGGCTGCTTTGACGTGTCTTGTAGTGAGGGAGGGATAATGCTGATCGATGAACCTGTGTCGACGAGGAATTTCGTGCCGGAGGTGTGGTCGGTGATGTGCAGTAGTGCGACGCCTAACGGAACGGGGGCTGAGGCGTCTACCAATCCCCGTTGTTGCCGTTTCCCGGGTAGGTGCAGTGGGGCTCACAGTGTTGAGCATTGGCGCCGAAACGTCTGTGATACCAGCATAGGGTAGATCCGTTGTACTGGGGACTGGCGGCGGATTCCGGGGTAGGAAATGCGCGTCAGGGATTGTAGGGCGTAGTGCATGAGCCAGGAACAGGCCCGGTAGCAGGCGTGGGATTGTAGGGCGCAGTGCGTGAGCCAGGAGCAGGCCCAGCAGCAGGCGTGGGATTGTAGGGCGCAGTGCGTGAGCCAGGAACAGGCCCAGCAGCAGGCCTGGAGAAGCAGAACTGTTCAATAGAGTCCATCCTGCGGTTAAAAGTCTGCAACAGGTCCTTTATGTCTCGTGAGGTATTGCTCGACTGAGGGTTGATGACCCGGCTTACAAGTTCGGGGGTAAGTACTGCTGTGGTCGTTGGGTTGTTCGCAGTGGCGAGACCTGCAGCAGCACAATCGCTGAATATCCTGTCTGCCGAGGGTGAGTAGAGTTCTGGTGTCGCAGATTAATCTACTGCAGACAGGATGACGCGCACCATTGTGGGGAGCTTTTGTGCATGAAGTTGGCGCAGGATAGAGTCGGGGAGTCTGTCTGTGTGACGGGAGTTCAGCCTACACATCTCCTCCCAGAGACGTCCCTGGGTTGAGTTTCCGAGGGAGATAGAGGATAGGTTTTGTAGGAGATTGGGGCTGGTCTGTTGATAACGCGTCCTCAAGGCATCCAGCAGGTTAGCGAATTTGTTGATGACTGGAGGGTTGGCAATGGTCCGTGAGACCTGCGTGGCGACTTCCATGGGCAAGGCACAGAGCAGGGCGCCGTACTTTTGCTCGTCAGTCGCTTGTGAGCCGACGAGGGCTGCTCCCATATGAACTAACCAGTCCTCGACGTTGTGGTTGAAGGGTGGTAGAGAGATCCGTCCGTCCATTCTTGTGGGAGTGCGTCAAATCTGTAAGGGACGGATGAGGGATGGGAGCTTGTTCCGACCCCCTTCCGTGTTCACAATCTCCTGGGACGGAGGTGAACAGTTGCGGGGGGGGGGGGACTTCGGGACGAATACACTTTTTAGGGTGCAGGTCCTTAGGCCAGAACTAAAAAAACAAAAGAAAAATAGGAGAATAGGCAAAAGAGCTCAAACCGCGTTTGGAATATCGCACACTAGTTGCTCTCCAGCTGTGATGTGGGTCACTCACATCGCCAGTGGGGAGAACAGACTAATGCGTTATAAACCTTACGGTCGTGAGATGTGGAGTAGCAGGTAGGGCGGTTGGCCCAGGCTGGCAGCAGGCAGCGATCCTCACAGCTCCGGTATTAAACAGCAGCAGCAGAGGGAGCGTGGTGTTCACAGCTCCGAGGGTCACCAATTGTAGCGTACTGTATTGTGGCCAGTAGTCAATTATCTTTAGATGTCTATTATTTTTTTGTATGGCCACACAACGTACGTACATGTACAGTAGATATCTCACACTCAGGAATGAGGTAGAATAGAAACTCACGATGCGTTTTCTGAATATATATTGTTGTACAGAGTAGTGCTAAGGAGTTACTAGGTGAGGTGTAGCTTGCTCAGAGTTCCTGTAGGGCGAGGAGCTCTCTGAGGAAGCTGGGTGGTGAGGTACTGGAGAGAGATCTTGCTGGTCCTGCAGGTCAGAGTAGAATGCTCTCCCTGATGATGATGATGATGATAATGGAGATAAAATGGCAATGGCTTGCCATGGGAAGGGAGAGAAGAGGTAAGGTAGAAGGAAAGTTATGAAACGGGAAGTAAAGTACTAGAGAATAAGAGCAGGTAGGCTATCCACCTAGCAGAGACGATTTGATTGGCTGTGGTGAAGGCCGCACTAAGAGGTCGCCCGAGCTCGAGGGATCAGAGGGGGAGGAGGCTAAGCTAGCTAGCAAGAGGTTGTTAGTTATTGTGTTAGTTGGAGAGGTCTACTAAGTCCTTGTGTAACTAGTAGAAAACTCTCATCCTTTATCTTATTGGCGTCAAGAAGTTTTTTTTTATGCTGTGGTGTATAATTGTGTAAGTTGGAGAGGTCTGCTAGGTCCTTGTGTAACTAGTAGAATACTCTCATCTTTTGATTACTGTTTAGTGTACAATAGTTCTGGTTCTTGATGGTTATGGAGAAGGCTTTTTGGCCACCAGTTGTGTGATCTTGTGGTGTCCTCTGTTTTTAGTCGATTATATATTTCGTCTTCCATGACTTCTTGTTTGTGCCATACTGCCTGTGCTTGGTTGTATGTTCTTATGTTCAGTGGTAAAATGTTGTAATTTTCGTGAAGCTTGTAGTGGACGTCTCCCCTACAACTGCGTATCCGCATTCCAATGCGACAGTATCCTAGCAACCAAACGAGCGGCCCAGGGGGCGTCACCAGCTGCCACAGTGTCCTAGCAACCAGCCACCTGCTACGTCTTCCCTAGCAACGGAGTCAAGAAACCGGCGAGTTCCCACCGATTTACTTCCGGCTGCTGTGTATATAAGCTCTCTCTCTCCAGTAAGATTGATTCTGGCCTTGGTTCCTGAACACGCAACACCTCCTCCTCCGCCGCTGCCTGGCGGCCCTCGCTTCTCCTCCGCCGCTGCCTGGTGGCCCTCGCTTCTCCTCCGCCTGGCTGGCGGTCCTCGCTCCCGCCGGCGAGCATGGCGACCCACCAGCTCTCCTTCTCTGAGCGTCCTCACCAACCAGCTCTCTTATTCTACTCTACGTTCCTGAACATGCAACACCTCCTCCTAGCAAGCTCCTCACTGTCCAGCTCTCATTCAACCTGGAGGCCAGCAACAGGCAACATCTTCTCTAACGAAGCTCCTGCACATCTACCTCCTTCAACACGCTACTCACCGAACGTCTTCTACTGAGCAGCTCCCCACCACACGGCATCTCCAGCACCAGACTGTCTATCATATAACTTATATATTATACAAGAAAACCGCATTAGAGTTTCCTTCCATCCTGAGTGCTAGACAACATTAATATCTCGATACCCCTACAATGGTGACTCCCGGAGATAAGCACTCACACAGGATGGAGGACGGACGGATCTCTCTGCCGACTTTCAACCACAACGTCGAGGACTGGCTTGACCATGTGGAAGCAGCCCTCGCCGGCTCACGAGCGACCGACGGGCAAAAGTATTGCGCCCTGCTCTGTGCCTTGCCCACGGAAGTGGCCACGCGGGTCTCACAAACCATTTCCAACCCTCCAGATCACAACAAATTCGCTACCCTGCGGGCTGCCTTGAAGACGTGTTATCAACAGACCAGCCCCAATCTCCTGCAAGATCTATCCTCTACCTCCCTCGGGAACTCAACCCCGGGACGTCTATGGGAGGAGATGTGTCGGCTGAACTCCCGTCACACAGACAGACTCCCCGACTCTATCCTGCGCCAGCTTCACGCACAAAAGCTACCCACAGAAGTACGCAACATCCTGTCCGCAGTAGATTACTCTACGACACCGGAACTATATGCAACCGCGGCAGATAGAATTTTTAACGAGTGCGCTGTTGCACCCCTTGCCGCCACGGTCACATCAGTACCTACCATCGAACTTGTAAGTCGGGTCAACACCCCTCAGCCGAGCAATACCTCACAAGACATCAAGGACCTGTTGCAAATTTTGAACCGCAGGATGGACACCATTGAGCAGTTCTGCTTCTCCATACCCGCTGCTGCGCCGGTTCCTGACTCACACACTACGCCCTACAAGTTCTGACACACAGCAGCCAACCCCCAGCACAACAAATTTACCCTCTGCTGGTATCACCAGACTTTCGGCCGCAATGCTTGAAACTGTGAGCCCTATTGCACCTATTCGGGAAACGGCAACACCGGAGGCTGGTAGACGCCTCAGCCTCCGTCCCTCCAGACGTCTCATTACTGCGCGTCACCGACCGCAACTCCGGCAAGAAGTTCCTCATCGACACCGGTTCATCGGTCAGCCTCATCCCTCCCTCACTACGAGACAAGTCAAAGCAACCCTCGTATGACCTGTTCGCTGCCAACGGTACCTCCATCGCCTCCTACGGCGTACGCACCCTCGCCTTAGACCTCGGTCTGCCCAAGACTCTGCGTTGGTTATTCGTGATAGCAGACGTGTCTCAACCCATCCTTGGTTTCGACTTCCTCACCTTCCACAAGCTCGGCGTCAAACCAAGTCATCTATGCCTCATTCATGAGCCTACAGCACGCAAGATCCAGGGTTCTCGTGCCAGACACACGGACGCTATCACCTGTCTTGCGCCTTCCAACGAGTTCTCCTCCCTGCTCGACGAACTCAAGGAGCTTTTCTCACCCCGAGTCTCCCTACCCCCACCACCTACGTCGGGAATTTTCCACCACATCGAAACCAAAGGACCACCAGTCTTTTCACGCCCTCGCCGCCTGTGCCCTGAGCTCCTGTACACAGCCAAAGTAGAATTCAACAAACTACTGCAAGACGGCATCATTCGCCCTTCAAGGAGTCCCTGGGCATCGCCTCTTCACATGGTTCCTAAGCGAACACCCGGCGAGTGGAGGGTGTGTGGCGACTACAGAGCCCTGAATCTCGTCACCAAACCTGACAGGTACCATATTTGGCATGTCCAGGACTTTCACCACAAACTTCATGGCAAGACTATCTTCTAGAAGATCGATTGGAGCGTGCCTTCCACCAGATCCCAGTAGCACCGGCAGATACTCAGAAGACAGTCATCACCACTCCGTTCGGACTCTTCGAGTACACTTTCATGAGCTTTGGCTTACGCAATGCAGCACAGACTTTCCAGAGGTTCATGGACCATATGCTTCGCGACCTCGATTTTGTCACCGTCTACATTGACGACATCCTCGTCGCATCTTCGACGCCTGCCGAGCACCGCCACCACCTACAACTCCTTCTCCAACGCCTGCAGAACAACAACATGAAAGTTCATCCTGCTAAGTGCGTCTTTGGAACCTCGGCCATCGATTTCCTCGGTCACAGAGTCTCGCCCAGTGGCATACAACCCCTACCACAGAAGATAACCGCAATTAGGGAGTTCCCCAAACCTGAAACGGCGAAGA